TACCCTTTAGCCATATAATCCCACTACGTAGTTACTCCTCCCAACACAAAAGCAACACGGTGCATCTCCATATAATGTAAAACCGGGTTCGCTGCTCCTTCACAAGCCTCGAGCATCTCTGCCACAGTCGGAGCTTTGGGACCCCTGTTGATTTCATGTTCAAGCAGAAGATCGGCATTATACACCAAGGTACCCAAAAAAAACCGGGTTTATGGTGTTTTATATGGTTTTTGAAGATGGTTTGTCCTTGTGGGAGAATGGGATTATATATGGATGGGAAGGTGGATTTGGGAGGGATAATGAATGGGGGATTGGTGAACGAGTGACAAGTGTTTGATGAAATGCGGGTTAGCATGGAGGAGGCCCCCTTCAATCTCTGCTTGTCTGCCTGACAAATCAACCCCGGAGTATGCACTTATTTGTACATCAACTTATCCCGGTTTTGGGTGAATCTAGCTTACATCTCTTATCTGTCATTCCATCCGGTTCGATCTAATTTAAATATAGACCTAATTAAAAAATATATAAAGGTATTTTTCATCACGAGTATATAAATATCAATTATATTATTATTTTTAATTTAAGCGTTTTTTTATTATAAACTTAAACCTAATTCAATCTTATCCTTTAAAAATACCCGACCTCGCATGAATTTTAAAAAATTCAATTTTATATAATTGGGTTAGAACTGTGTAGTGATGATTATTGTGTAGTTAAACCATTTTGATGTTTTATCACTTGTATATTCAAGTCATTTCGTATTTATTTTGTTTCATGTTTGTGTTATTTTGGATTATACAAATATGAATTATTGGCTTTTAATTATTAAAATCGAGTTGAATTAAATTTTAAGTCAAAGTGACCTGAACTGATTTTGGATTATACAAAGTGTTTTGATCAAATATTAACCTTTGACATTAATTATTTAAATTATTGGTTTAATAGTTCTTGAAGCCCTCCAACTTTTGAAAAAAATAAAATGACCCCTTTTTTCATTCAATTAAACTCTTAAACCTATAGAGTTAATCCTTATAACCCTTTGACTAATTAAAATCGTTATTGATCATTATGATACTGATGCAATCGACTATGCCAGATATACCGTTAATCATTAAAAATTATAAAATCCAATATATAAATTTATCTAAATTTAACCGATAGGATTCATAAATATCTCTAGACATGGCTCCTTAAGCATGTGGCTCCAGCTATGCTGCTCGTCTGTGTAAGAATTATTTGTCCCACATACTGTTTGTAAGTGAACATAGGTAGACCTACCATCAATCATTATTTTATGGTTTTGATTTCTTTTATATATATATATAATTTTAACTGTAATAATTGATCAAATTTTAATTATCTAGATTAATATTCTTATAATAATTCAATGTTATGAATTAAAACATGATAAAATTTGATCAAATACAAATAAAATCGAGTATAAATGGTTTATGGTACATAGAGTTTAATCTATCAAAAAAATTAGACTTATTTATTAATAAATATTATTACATACATGTCGTCTTGTAAATTTATCATTAACTCAATCGAACTCATGATAAAAAAATCCCTTAAATTCATAATTTACCATCACTATTCTCCACATATGGAATTCTTAAGATTCTTAATCCTAAATTTTCAATTTTGTTCAGTTTAAACTCGTTTATGTGATCCTAAACTCAACTTTCTATTGAAATAACTGATTTATAACATCTGATGGATCAAAATCTGACGAATTCATATTATTTGACCATCTCTATTGGTACCCTAGGGTTCCATTGACACCAAGGGTCCACCTTCTAATTTCTACCATGGAACACATCAGTATGACGTGCGCAGTTGCCACGTTTTCCATTGATTCAACTTGAACAGTACATCCCTTTATCAAGTTAAAATCTTGCCGGCCATTGATGGATGATTTGCCAAGCTTTTGAAACCAGTTCCATTTAAAGCACATCAGACACCAAACTTTATCTTGTATAGTTTACCTAAACCCCACTTTTCTTTAGCCTTTTTCGATACACCATTTTCCCTCCCATTTCTTCGAAGCTCAAAAGGACTAAGACAAGACTTGTTGGGGACCCCATTGACCCCCAAACTATGTTAATCAACCCCACACGTGGCTAATAACATATGCTAATAACATATATTATGATTTTGAGTATATGAACGTTTCTCCTTCTTGGACCACACTAAGGGAATGGAGGAGTTGGCGGTCTTCAAGAGTGGGATTATGTTTTGTACTTTGTAGGAACAACATTTTTTGTTTGGTTGTTTTGATTCCATTTGTGCAATGATATCGAAGCTCGTGATTGAATTATGTTAGGTTTGGTGGGTCGGATTAGTCGAGAGGGATTTTGTTGAAGTCTTTGAGAAAGAATAGAAAATATTGTCACGGTTAATTTATAGTGATTCAATCTTGTTGATCATCAATATTGAGTGATAGAGGTAGTAATATTTATTGTGATTCATCCTATTTGACTTAAAAGGATAACTACAATTTACAATGACCAGAGATAAGATCAAGGTTTGAACTCAGGTTTGATGGCCTAAGTCTAAGAGAGAAAGGAGAGAGGAATGAGGAATGTACGAGTGATTCCCTTCTTTATTAAGAGAGAATAATTATTTATATATTTGGTGTCCTTCGAACAACATGACATCTATGTATTGATAGATAATCAAGAATAGGACCAACATAAAGATCAATTGGGGTTGTCATGAGGTATACTGTGACAGTATTTTGTTGTACATCCTACTTTACTGACAGAGGTAGCAAGACAGGTTAGGTTAATTCGTCCATCATAGAGGGGGATGTATTGAAGGTAGTAGTTTCGTTTCAGAGTTGGAGGGTGTTAGGTATCATGAGACTATGATATTGTATTGGTAGAATGTTGTTGGACCATTTTAGTTGTGATTATACCAAGAAAATTAAAAGATTTAATCAAGTCCTTAAAATATATATATCATATCAATTAGACCATTCCATGAGTTTGATCGGCATATCAATTAAATCTATCACGAACATATTTAAAACACGTTAATCTAATTTTTAATGTGTATGCTTATCGTATAAACAACTCGAATTTGATCAGATAAAACTATATGTTTATAAAATTAAAAGGAGAAAAGAAATGGGGATATGTTATGCTAAATGCCAATTTCACATAAGGACACATAACATTGTTGAAGATAGATTCAATCACGGCCATGGTAACCCATATGTTACTTGCTTTATATCCTACTGTCAAGCTCAAGGTGGCTTGTCAATGCTAGTTGCCACTTTTTAATTTTATCCTATTTTTACATCAAGAAAAAAGGAATAAAAGGGACATGCTATTTGAAATCAATTGGTCCTTAAGTGTTTATCCCTAAGCTTTCAATAATGATTGTAAACTTGGAGATTTAGGGTCACATCTCAATAGTCAAATCATGTCCCATTGCCATGCACAAGGATAGCAAAGGGAAACCCCAACACCTTATCTCAAAATCCCAAAGTATATAAAAGATAAGATCCTTAATAATAGCTTATAGATCAATGTGGCCCTTTTGTTTAAGACAGTTTGACTATGTTAGGGCACTATGCTAGTAGGATGGAGCCAATGGGTACCATACACGTGGACCAAAGACATTAACACAAGTTATACATATCTGATCTATTAGTTAATCAATCTATATCAAAGATTATAGAAATTTATTATTAGAATGCTCTTTCCACTCAGTTTACTCTATTCACACCATCGTGATTTAAATCCTAAATGTTATTTGAGAGATTGACACTTCATTTTATTAGATCAATGGATAACTTGTACTCGGGTATTATATCATAATTGCATGTGTATAAAACTTAAAACTTTCAAAGTATTATGCTTTAGTAAAGCTGGAAAAATCCAAGTATTTTTTGTGTCCCATTTTGTGGGGAGAGTTGGGAAGTCAATAATAGGAGGCAAGTAGTTTCTCTCAATGAACAACATTATAATAGAAAGATCGAATGTATATATTATATAAAGAAAATTATAGAAATAACTTTAGTGCTCCACAACTCCACGTACTAGACGTTTCAAATAGGGGTTAAATTAAGGGTACATTGTGAATAAAAAAATAGGGAAATTTTGATTATAAAAAATTATTTAAGGAGATAAGATGAATGTTATAGTAAATAATGAAGTCATCGGCAATTGAATATAATTTTAATAAAGTTATCTCATATCTGTAGATGACGATGATTTTATTCCTTTTTTTTAATAAAGAGTAAAGGAACAAAAACTTGAGTTGCATAATCCATATTATATAGATAGATATACGTACAAGTCATTTTAAAGAGTAAATTATCGCTGACACAAAAACTTGAAAAGATATATGGTTGGTAGAGGGGAATATTTGATTTATTATTTGAGTTGAAAATTTTGAGTTAGTGAAAATCATATGTTTGTTTTATAACTTAAATTTTATTTGAAGTTTTTGAGTCTAATCGAGTTTTGAAATTCAAGTTAAGATTAGTTATTCGAGTTTTATTTTAAATTTAATTATAAATATGTATAATGCTATGATACTATTTGGTTCCAACTTAAACGATTTTTTATAACCATGTACAATATACATGTATATTTTTTCATATATGGTAACATTTATCTTTAGAGTTGAGTCACTCGATCAATCGAATTGAATTTGAAAACCAATTCACTAATTACTACAAATTTTAAGTTATTCGAGTCTTATTTTATTTGAATTTTTTTGAGTTGAGTCAACTCCATTAAATTACGAGTCAAAGCAAATTTTACAATGTCGAATCTAATTCAAAAAAAAAAATCTATTTTCTTAAATAGAATCAAGTTTTGCTCATCTTTCAAGCAGAGAGTGAACCATGAAATAGGTGAAAGCATCTTCTATCAAAAGAAAATATAAAAATGAAAACTTGACTTGACTAATTTATGCGACCACAATGAAAAAGTTTCATTTGACACGTCCGAGATTCGAATCTCAGCCTCAGTAACTTTTTCTCCTATTCCAAACTGCGCCCTCCTTTTATATTGGAAAGGAAAATTAAGGGTTTCATTACAAAATGTAGTGTGTTAATGAAATAGTAGTGTACAAAAGTGGGGGTGTTATTAGGAGTCGCAGTGTTCAATTATAAGTTCAGCAGCAGCACCCATTGTACCAACCCCTCCAATGCCGAGCAAGGCTAAAGCAAGCTCCTCTTCATCCCATTGTCTCAGTCCCTTGCTTAACCTCCTTAGCACATCTACATCCACCTCCAGGACCCAATTCGGGGTGCAACCCACCATTAGGCTCACCAATCCCGACACATAGGCATGCCACGTGGCTCCATCACAACCGAGCGATATCTTTCCGTCGAGTGCACTCGCGAGGAACTCCATGTGTGAACGGAGGATTTTAGGTCTCCGCTTCGATGCTGATGATGAAGAATCAACTCCCCAAGCAAATGCACCACAAAGCACTGTGAAATATGCGAGTGCGTATCCCCCAAGCATTGCCACGGGTCCTGAACCTTCTTCTCGGTCAGATCTGTGAACGGATATAAACCAAGAAGGCAGAGTTTCCTTTATCAATGACTGAACCAGACCATGGCCGCCAGACAACCATACTAAAGAAGCTGCTAGGGAGGCTGCAAGTTTCACCCTGTTCATTGCTGCAGCAAGAGAAACCTGCCCGTATTTCAGTCCGTTCTTGCTCGTCTTCAGCTTCTCTAATTTCTGTTTTAGCATGCCACTACATGCTATTTCTTTCACAGAATGCATCAAGAGAGAAACCACCTCTTCAGTTATGAACACGATATCTCTCATGGAACGGTAAATGCGAAGATAGAGAATCCCTGGAGCAACAGGTGAAAGCCCACCACAGAAATGCGACCCGAATCCATGGCCAAGAAGAGCTCCAACACCACCGTTGCTGGAGATTGGTGCAATGTTCAAGCCAAGCGTAGCGGTGAAACAGCTTTTAAGAAGCTGGACAGTAGCATCACTGTTATGGAGAAAAACAGTACGAGATGCAGAAAAGACAAGGAAGTCAAACCATCGCTTTGCCTTTTGGGTCCATAGGGAAGCCACAATCGGCATGCAAGGCCATGGACAGTCTGCTGCAAGGGACTCCAAAGCTGGGCCAGCCAAATTCATAAATCTTTCCGAGGCTTTGTCAATTTTATATGTAATGGTGAGACTTACAAAAGCAGCCAACGGTAGCGGAAGAGTGGCTAGAGAGCTACCACCTGTAATTACATTATGCATCGGTCATATAATCACTGTAAGGGTTTAGAGAACAAAGGAAAAAAAACTTGCTATTGCCATTGGGTAAAGAGATGGAAATGAGGAAACTAGAAATGCAGTCCGAAATGCATCTGTGTACGATAGCACGCATACTTTCACGGTAAACTTTAATGACGGAAACATTCAGAATTTAAGATGGAAAAAGCTAAAAACCTGCAGAAAGTCTAGGGACATCAACACCGGTGGCTGCTAGGATTTTCTTGATATGTTCCTCAACATTGGACAAATTTGCAGCAGGGCTTGGCCAGTCCATACCATTCATAACAACGGGTTTCCATACACATCGACTTACTTCAGCAGAGAAGTAGCTAGCGATGGTTGCCAAAGATGCAGGCAGAAAATCAGCTAAATCTTTTAGCCCTGAAACAATCCAAGTTGCCGGTTATAACAGTATCTATTTTATCAGAACTAAGCATCATATCTAGATGTCACATCAATTTCATCAGAACACGTAAATGGAGGGGTGACATTTGGCCGGTCACTGGCCTTGAACATTATGCAAAAGGACTTATTTATACTGAATAGCAATATGTATGATTCTCATCTTCCTCATTATAAATTAGATAAGAACACCAGACTAACCTGTGGCCAGTTCCCGCGGAGAAAGTCTTCCATGAGCACATGCTGTTAAAGCAGCATCAACAACGTAAGGAACAGCTTCTAGGATATCCCAGGCAGGCAAGTTAGGTTTCAGGGAGTTTTCATTTCCAGCTCCAGATGAACTACTACTTCCAGAAGTAACAGAAGTTATTGACTGGCTTCCTTTGTGAATTTTTCGGAATATCATGTTCAGAAGTCCATCCACTGTCTGGTGAACAGTAGTTCCATTAATGAGACCGGAGAGTGTTGCAGCTATACATCTTTGATGTTGCCGATACCATACTTTTAACTTTGGAAATGAGTCCAGAAATACAGGCTCTGGGGATGATGAACTTGCAACTTCTGATAGTCTCCTTTTGTTGCGATCCTTATGGGTGTTTTCAGAAGACAATAGATGGGAGTTCCGAACTAATAAAAGGTATTCAGGAGTCAGCTGGGATCCAACTGTGGGTACATCACCAACTCCGTGTTCAATAGGAGGATGATTAAACCTCCATAGCTTCAGAAGAAGAGCAAATGCATTAGAAAAAACTGCATGGGGAGAGATTTCTTCCCCTGAGGGGAGATTCCACGAGACATTGGGAACACACGACCCGAAAACTTCACATATTGGCATCAATGAACAAGCAAGCTGTGGGACCTGGTAGGACAGAAAAGAAAGCAATAAAATTTACGTATAGCTTGCATAAAGATCATCAATAAACAACTCACATTCATGAAAAAATAAATATATGAATCATACATGACATTTGTTTTACAAAACTTGTCTGTAGCTTACATAAATGGGAAATTTGCTATATCTTTGAATCCAAAGTTACCAAGGTACAGGAACTATATCAATATGGAAGATAAAGAATAATGATATATTATCGTTCATCCAAGAAAGGTCGTTAAGCAATATCACTCATTATCAGTGAATTGGATATGCTTTGGTAAGTTAGCAAATCATACCAGGCCATGAAAGGAGAAAATCTGAACACAATCGACAGATGCTATTCCACAAATTAGCACATTCAACATAGGAGCATAATCTATCAAATGGCTGTCACTCCCAGAAAAATCAGCAGGAACCGGAGGAGACATCAATCTAGTTATAAATTGAACTGTATATTCCTGTGTGGATATATGATCAAACTCGACAGTAAGTGAGGATAATAAAACCAAAAAGCCAAGGAAAAACCCGAAGGTTAAATGGGAAGAACTACTCAATGTTAGGATAATGCAGTCGCATGAAAATTACTGCTAAGGGTCACAAGAAATATGGCAACATAAAAAGGAACATCCATCTTATTACCTGTATATTCCAACCACGAATTAGAGAAGCCCCACAAAGAATTGAAGCTGCAGATATCTTCTCATCTTCTGATCCATTGACTGCAATCTCAAATATTTTCTCCAGCTCTGCTAAGCTTCCATCAAATCCATGAGCTTAAATTCAGTTGCTTTACCCTTGGTAAATTTACAAAAAAGAGCAACTGATATACCTGGCTTCAGGAAAGAAAAAGGAATAACTGAAGACCAGGCCAAATCAACAAAACGTTAAAGATATTTGAACCCTTGTATGTATCAAGATCACTCGGATCCCATAAGGTGTACCCAATGAGTTAAAATAGCCGAAATTTTGGTTTAAAGTTATTATGTGTTTTGCATGCCAGGTCTTTCCTCTTGCTTGATTCTTATATTTTGAGAATTTTATCACTCACACAAGTATATAAAAGTTCTCCCGGTGAAACAACCCTCTGTGCTATCCACAAGTCCTTCACAGAAGAAGCACATTCGACAAGCCAATTACCAATTTCACATCTATGACAAGTTTTCAAATAAATTGGTTTCAAGTTTCAGTGGCAGATATGTAGGGGCAGAGAGGAGGATAAGTCAAAACTTAAGGTTACATACTTGGGATAACATATAGCGATTATCAAATAGGGGTAAATCTCAAAACTAGGCATGAACCTTGATCCAATGTACAATATGATACCTGGACTTTTTTTATGCAATTTTATGTATGACAAATCGATCAAGTTTCGCATACCACTAACACTGGCATTGCATGTACAAACAATTATATTTACCCTACATGAATTTATTTGTTTTCCTTAAATGTATACGATTTAATCAAAATCAAAGTTTTATGAATGCAATTGGACCAAATCAAAATTCCAGTATCACATTGCACATTGGATCAAAGTTCATTTTTTATTTTTGGGATACATCCTATAAAATAATATTCATACACATAAAGCTTAAAATGCCCTCCAACCTAACACAGTCCATAACACTCTCCTCAACCTTCACATATACATCAAGGAAACTAGAAGTTGGACATTGGTAATCACTGCCTATTTTGTGTGCATGGAATTGATACCTATAAAGATGATAATTCCCTTTAACCTGAAAAGCTCTGGAAAAAAAAACTTGCCAGTACACAACAGCACAGGACATAAGCTTTGCAGTTATGAGTACTAAAAAAAGAAGGAAAAAAAGGAAGAAGAACAGTTTAAGAGATAAATATGTATACCTGGAAGCAGGGCTTGAAGCAAGAGCATTAATCATTACTGAAGTAAGCGGGGGCCCCTTCATGAATGATGACCAACCCGGCGCCTGAGCTGGAACACTATAAGGTAATTGATTAATGCGTCCATTTACATAACCTGGCCAAAAATATGCCGATGTATCTAGAAGATTTCTCGCAATACAAGCCTCAACAATCAGATGACGCATGTTTCCAGCTGCAAAAAAGATCAGAACACAAGATTAGAAAATGTTAAAAATGTGAAAACTATAGAAAACAAAATCAAAATTCATGAAGGAATTTGGTGGTATAACAAATCTGAAATCAACTTCATAAAATATCAACAAAGCGTTTTAGGTGTAAATGGTTTTCTGGTGCAACACAAACCAGAGCTAATGATAATTCTTGGCTATTTCCTTTAATGGGTGCATTACACATATGTTTATCCATCTAATGCAAATCTTTTCCTACTAAAAGAAAGGAAGAAGAAGAAGATTGTTTCTTCTCTCTTATGAGTTTAATAGAAGCCGGAATAATGCCCTAAGAATTAAGAAACCCTTCTGGAATCATTACTTCGTCATGAAGCACCGGTGCTTCTTAACTTATGATGATTCGCTTTGAAGTTACAAGTTTATACTCGGCTATGCTTTTCATTTTAGGTCATACAAGACTGCAGCCAGATGCAGATTACAACATAAGCAAGGATTTGGGAGTAACTTGAAGCAAGAAGTTGAACCACAAGCTAGTAAGGTCAGTCCCTTCATTTTAATGGCTTTTCTAAGGTTTTGGTTGGGGTCCAGTAAAAAACTAATAAGATGGTTTTGTAATAATTCAATGGAATGGACAGACCAATTGGGAAAGCTATGTTGCTCGAACTCTTCATTTTTCATGAAGAACTTGTGTCCGACACACGTATCCAACACTTGAATATGGGGATATGACCTTCAAGGATCCTCAAATACATGAAAAAACTTCGAAAAATCTAACCATGTCCGTGTTGGATACATGTGTCTAACACTAACACCCGAGTTTGAGAAACATACTGGAAAAGTAAAATAAGTCTCCAATTGAAACCATTCTATATCTTATAACATTTGCACCATTCCTAGAATTTTCTGCCCCCCATCCCTCCAAAAGATTTGAGTTCCCAATTTACCTTGGCTGAATACCATTTATGTAAGTTTTTAGTACCCAATATAAACTTCTCTGGTCAAATTCTAAAACAAAAGGAAACTGCCTATGGATTTAACCACCACCCATAAACATATGCACATGGTTTACATTTCAAAACTTGTGAAAAAGGAAAAGTGATCAGCGTTATTGATCGATAGAACAAGATATTACTTACAACAACTGATAGGCATGTCTTTGATATTGACGCACTCAAAGTATGCACTCCCAACATTGATTCCCGAGACAAACAACATTGCTCTTGCAGCAGCCTGATTTGCAGCAGAAACAACAGACTTTGGAGGAGCTAACAAGCCTTGATAATCACCAAGTACTTGTAGGCTGGAGACTAGATCATCACGGCGTTTCCTGGAAAACTTCATTTCTTTCCAGTGATTAATAGTAGTTGAGCCATATTCTTTTTCATCACATGGTGCACCCTCTTCCTCCTCAATAAGATCAGCAACCACAAGAATTATAATAGAAAGTAGCATACACAAACGGGTATCCAGCCGGGGAATTGGACCTTCAATGGGATCTCTTTCCTAACAGTTAATTAAGAATTAAAGGTAAGGTATAACAGTCAGCCTACTTGTTATAAAAGAAAAATAGACCTATAGTTCATCCAGAGTGAATGTACTACTTGTTATAAAAGAAAGAACTTGGTAAAGAAAAGCAAGAAAATTTTCCTTTTATATATTTCTAGGCATGTATGCGTAAATTTTCTATTGAATTAGCCGTATCACTATCATGAATTTTAAATACCAACACCAAATATTTCTGTTACACTTTCAAGAGTACGAAAACTTAAGTCCATTTCAGAACTGAAAAGTCACAGGAACATAAGTCTTAGTAAATTCTGAATGCTTTAAGAATACATCAGATCCTCTGTTGAACGTAGTTACCATTCAGAGAAAAAAGAACAGAAAACTTCTGAACGTTATAAGAAACTCTAACCCTTTGAACAAGCTGAAGAGATGAGATCCAAAGGCCTAAAAAGGTGTCATGCCAGCTGGTCCCATTCATTGCTTGAAGAGTTTTAATCAGACCTGCACAGTATTAAACTTAATTGTTCATGTTATTGCATATCAGTTTTGCTACAACAGGCTACCGAAAATTTTCAACTGAAAATATCATTCAACCAAACATGTCTAGCTTTACCAGTTATAATTTCAACTGCACTTGTCGTGTTAACTAGATAACCATCCATAGCATCTTCTAATACCAGATCAAGAGGGAGCCAAAGATCAGAACGACTAGCTCCATGGCATAAACCAGCTGAATAGGAAAGAGATCCAAATGCCATAACAGCATGGAACTTTTGCACCGAACTTGTTTTGCATTTTCTAGACAAGACAATACGACTATCTGATGTCAACTCTAGAAGATCCTCAGATGTTAAAACCTTTGAAGTTTTCAGTGCTGCTGAATTTGCTCCAAGAAGCGGCAAACTCTGAATGAAATTCACCCAATGAGAAGACCTGGAAAGTGGTGTGAGATTGTTACACAATTATCATACCCAAAAACTGAATATGGGTTGTTCAAGGAGGACACACAAAACAGAAACGACCCTGAAGGTAGAACTAACCTAAATTTACCCCCCCCCCAAAAAAAAGAACTTTATTGATACACATTCATAAGCAGGCATACAAACCATTCATTGTATGTATGCACTTAAAGATAAAATAATGTGCAAATGGTATCCAGTTTTTGCCGTTGTTATTAACTAGGATAAGAGAGCTTACCATTCCACTGCTCGGAAAACCAAAATGCACGGGGAAATAACTAAAAGCATTACATAAACAAGGACACATAAAAGTTGGGAAGGTAATGAAGTTAAAATGATGCATACATGTTTCGCCGTGCCAGGTAAAGAATCCTAGAAGTCACTTTATGTTGCAGAAATTGTCCAATTATCTCAATAGCCATTGTAGTATTGAAATTCTGCAACCACTCAAGATATGCAATATTTTTCTCATCATAAACATCATCACCGTCGATCTCCATTTCCTGAGGTTTAATTGCCCATCTAGACACCTTTTCCTCAGTAAGTTCCAGCAATCCCTCATCATCTAATGATGCATCTAACAACTGCCACACAATTGAAAAGATGAACTCAACCACCAGAATGGCAGGTTCTGTTGTTTGGAGACCAAAAATCTCAGAAAGATGAAGAGTAGCATCTATTGATTTCATGACCCTGTGTGAAGAGAAAGCACGGAAATTAGAAATGGAAAATTGATAATAATCAGTACAATCTACAATGGTCATGTTAATGAAAAGCATTTGAATGGTGTTAAGGGCCCAAAGCTCATCATGGACTTGATATTAATCAGAACAATCTACAATGGTCATTTTAATCAAAATTCAATATATTACGGTCTAAATATTTTTGAGAAGGTCAAAGTCGATGCGATAGTAAGAGGTATTCATGGTTGCAGTATTTTCTGTAATGCCATAGTTTAAACATGTCATATGAGTATGAAATGGAAATAGTGTTTTTATAAATTTAAAACACGATCCCTTAAATTTACCAGGAAAACCATGAAATGCTATTAAGCTGTGTAGATTAGCAAAGCTAACTAGCAATTGTAGCCTATAGAATTCTTAGGAGTCGGTTATAATGCTAACAAATCTCCAGGTATTACAACTGAAGCACAATGATCATGTTGAAGACAGAATCTGGTTATTATAAAGCATATGAAACAACACTAGTTAATTTTGATACAGATATACTGACATGAAATAATATGCTATAACAAAATCTGAAGAGCTCATACTCATATGTGAAGATCATTTTTGTGATATAATGCTCAAAGCCGCAACGGTGCAACCTAGACAATATTTTTCCTTCTCTTTGTCCCACATTTTGCTAGCTGATATTTTTACATATGTGTTAAGTTTTTTGTCCTTTTGCGAATATGTATGTGTGTGTCAAATAACGCACACAAAAAGAATCAAAGAACTCACTTTTCATAATCCGGTCCACTAGTTTGACACTTTAGTGCAAATGCATGTCTTTTAAGAATTTCCAAGTAAAGCCTATACGCAGCTGGATGGGAACGCCGATTGGGCAATACTCTGTAGAAAGAAAGATACCAAGAAAGTGAGGGAATTAGATATGTAGGAAATGGTAGCATCTATACCACAAGTTGAAACTCAGTTTACATCCCCTATCCTAAATATTAGGAAAGAAGTTGAAGATAAGTAGAAGAAAGAAAAAAAATTCAGATATTTAAACCTCCAGTTCCTGACAACATCAGAAACACAAATACTCCACTCAAACAAAGCTTCAATACAATTTATTTTTCTTTTTTTGAAGAACAATAACATTTTAATTAATCGGGCACTATCATGGCAAGCAACCAATGGTTGGGAAAAAAGAATGATAAGAAAAGACATAAATGTCCTAAAATTATTGAAGTAAAGCCTAAAATCAGCTCAATTAAACTATTTGACTTTTCTTTCATCACTTCAGTAGATTAAATGTGACTTTAAGACCAATGCTTTCTTATCCAGTTGTCCTCCCTCATTTCTGTCCAATCTCTCATTACCATGAATAACAGATAAGGAAGCTACATAATCATAAATAAACAAAAAACTAAAAATATATATATATTATTATCAAATATCAATATCATCTTCAGATTGAAGTACAAAATGGATGGAGATTTGCATTTAATGAAATAGAAAAAGGATAAATCATTCAGCTTCTCAAAGGAAATAGGAAACTATTTTTCCAAATCTCTCTAAATCTCCAAAAAAAATGAAAGTGAAAAACACTAGAAAAAAGGGAGGGAAACATGTGATGTGAGGAACTTGAAATGAATCTGATTTAACTTCATCAAATCTATTCATCACCAATGAAAATATATCACAACTTCAACAAAAACCACAAAAGAAGAAACATCCAAGCTAGTAGATTAAAAAAGACCACCTTTGTGAAAGCAGAGCAATAACAAGTAAAGGAGGAACGATCTTCATCATCAAAGCTTTATCCAAAAACTTCCACAGAATTGGGATATTATTATCCCAACAAATGTAGTTAACCAACACGTGGGCCAAATCAGTTGAAGGCAAAGCAACTCCAGAGGAGCTCAAACTGGAAGACACTTGTAAAGCCCAAAATAAAGGATCGATACCCTTCTCTTTCGCCACCTTTGTCTGTTCTAAGACCTCTTCCCAAAGCCTGCTGCTTTGCAAGCTCAACTCCATTGGTCTAAAGCTCCACAGCAAGCAGCCACCTTTGTTTCCTTTCTCGTTTTGCAATGAAAAGTAACAAAAAGAAATCACAGTTTTGAGGAAAATAATGGTGAGAGTTTGCAGGTGAGTCTTCAAACAGAGACCCTTCTTTTTGTTTATGATTTTTTAAAGTTATTTTTGTAGTCTTTTTTTGGGGTCTTTTTCATATATAAAAAAAAGTTGGATTTTGGGCAATAAATTTGACGTAAATTGAGAAAAGTAAACGATGGAAGAAGAAGGAGAAGAAAGGCAGTGGTTGTTAGTTTAGATAAAGGACATTCCTTTAATCCAAAACTTCAATTTTATACATAAAACATTACTAATAATTTATTTTTTGTGTATAAGAATTGATTATAATTATATAATGTTATTAATTATAATTCGATTTAGATCATGTCACATACTACTTTTTAAAATCGATTATTTATTGTTTAATCAAATAATAAATATTTTTTTAATAAAAAGTTGATAATATGATATAATTTGAGTAAAAGAATAATATTGCCAGGCTAAACTCACGATATAATGCACTCAAAATAAATAATTCATGAAATAACGTTCTCCCAATATTATTTACTGAAATAGGACGAAATCAACAGTGGCCGTAGGTCGCCATGCACTCCCAGCGACCTCCTAGGTCGCCATGCACGCCCGGCGACCAAGGAGGTCGCCATGCACTCGCAGCGACATCCCCTGCTGCATGCTCGCCTGCTCGCGACCTTGCCGGGACTCCATGGCGACCTACACATGCACGATCTCCCCATTCTTCCCATGCATGAACCGATCCTTGGTCGTCCCGAGTGCCCCATGCATGAATCGATCCTTGGTCATCCTTGGTCGCCTCGAGTGCCCCATGCATAAAACATTACTAATAATTTATTTTGTGTGTATAAGAATTGATTATAATTATATAATGTTATTAATTATAATTCGATTTAGATCATGTCACATACTATTTTTTAAAATCGATTATTTATTGTTTAATCAAATAATAAATATTTTTTAATAAAAAGTTGATAATATGATATAATTTGAGTAAAAGAATAATATTGCCATAATCTAATCATTTTATGTAATATTTTTTTTTACGTGTCAAACCAATTATATCACCTGATTAATTAATTTTTTATTGATTATAAAAATTTAAGAAAAAGTTTAAATATTTAAAATTAACGAGTGGATCAATCTCTTAATTTTATAATATTGAATTTTATAATCTTATCTCAACCTTATAAATTGAGGGAACGAAATAAGAGAGTTTGATTGGGATTGTTTATCACCGATATTTGATTTATTGATATAAAAAATTATTATAAAAATAATTTTATTAGTCTGTTTTTTATTAACAATGTTAAAATTTAAATCATTAATTTTTATTTAAAATTATAATGATTTATTTTTTATTATCAATTCAGGGTGCTTATAAGTAGTAGTATTTGTTCTAAAGATTTTTAACCATTTGTAGGCTTGTAAACGAATCGAATGTTCAGCGAACCGTTCGTGAACCGTTCGGCAGGAAGTTCGTTTATTTATTAAATGAACGAACATTAACAATATTTTGTGTTCGTTTAATTAAATGAACGAACCCAATCTCTCTAGACACATTTAAAATATTAAAGCCCAATAAATTTTAATCAAATACTTATAAATATTTTAAAATTTAATTAATTTTAAATACAAATAAAAAACTCAAAACAATTAAATATAAGATAATCATAAAATTTTTAGGAAATAAAAAATATATATTTTCATTTATATTCATTTATTGTGTTCGTTTACATTCGTTTATGTTCATTTACATTTGTTTGTTCATATTCGTTCATTTGTGTTCGTTTATCATTTAAATGAACGAACACGAACAAGTTACATTCCTTAACGAACGAACACGAACAAGAAATTTTTTGTTCGTTTATGTTTATGTTTGTTCATTTGTTCGGTTAAAGTTAAACGAACAAACATGAACATGAATATACTCTCGTTCGTGTTCATTTGTTTCATTTACAGGCCTAACCATTTGACAATGAATGCTCAAATACCCTATGTAGTCTCTTATTCTCGAACCTGAAACATTTAAAAATAAAAAACTATTCGATTAATCATTGAGATAATTTGATTCGTACAATGATTTATTTTAGGGTAAAGTATAGTAATGGTCACTAAACATTTCCGAAGCTTGCATTTAGGTCCCCCAACTTTTAAAACTTGCAATACAGTCCCCCAACATTTATTCCGTTTGCAATATGATCCCCAACTTAAACCACCGTTAGAAATTAGGTTAAATTATATAAAAGGTTATTGAACTTTTCAGACACTTGAATTTAGGTCCCCCAACTTTTAAAACTTGCAAAGCAGTCCTCAATTTCATTCTAAACCCCAATTTCCAAAATAATTCAATTTCATTCTAAACCCTAAATTCCAAAATAATTCAATTAAATTCAATTATGTCAAATTTATTATTATTTAATTTCATCTTATTTCATGTGATACGTATTTTTTATATAAATATAACAGTATAATTCTTATCTGTTGAAGAAATTTTTTAATTAAAAAAAGTAGTTAGGATATAGAAGAGGTTGAAAATAATTCGAATTTTAAATTTATAAAATGTTATTTTGACGTATAAATAAAAGTGTAAACTACTAGGTTGACAACTTAACTATCTAGCCCTTTTTACTTTTGTCATCGATCTTTTAAATTTATCAATCATACAACATAATTATTTAACTGTTTCAACTAAGCCACTAGTCGTTACCAATTGATACAAATGATGAAGTGGCAGTTAAAAGGAATTAACATTATTATACATTCAGTCTTTATTATTTATATAATCAATTTGGTCCTAAATTAAATAGAATTTAATAAATTAATCATTTAATTAGGATCTGACATGTGTTAGCACATGATCATGACATGTGTCATTGGTGACACATGTCACCACGTAATTATTTATATATGCTATCAATTTGGTCCTAAATTAAATAAAATTTAATAAAATAATCATTTAACCAGGATCTGACATGTGTTAACACATGATCATGATATATGTTATTGGTGACACATGTCACCACCTAATTAGAAGAAAATTATGTTACAAAGAAGTAAAATTTGGGTCTTGGGCAAACTCAAACCTGAGTTACGCAAATGAAAGATACAGGGTGGAGCCACTAAGCTAACACCATCGTTTGTGTTAAAAGATATACAATAATACATATACTAATAGTATGACCAATGCCAGAAAAAAAAGAATATAATGGAAAATGGAAATAATGAGATTTGAACTTCGGCAAAAAAATTGAAAGCAATAAATGATGGGAAAATATTATATTTTTTTACAATAAAAAATATTATATTTGATAAATTGTTTGATAGATTTAATATATTTTTTAAATATTAGTTGATACAATATTTTAAAAGAATAAATTTAAGATTTATATATTTTTAAACTAAATTTAATAATTATATTTTTCGTATTTATAATTCATGATTATATATATAATCTTAAGTTGAGTATTTCTAATATAATTAATAATTTTAATTTCTTATTAAAAATAAAATATTCAAAAAATATAAATGATTCATACATTAATATATGAATATATTTTTTATTTATACATCTAAATATAAATATACATTTATATAAATATATTTTTATTCGTATATTGAAATATTTTGATTAAAATATAAACATATTTTAAATACTAGTTTATACAAGAAAAATAAAATATATCAAAAATATAAATGATTCATACATTTAAATATAAATTGAATCATTTATATTTTCTATACATCTATATTTAATAAGAAAATAAAATTATTGGGGGACTGTTTTGCAAGTTTTAAAAGTTGGGGACCTAAATTCAAGTACCTGAAAAGTTCAATGACCGTTTATATAATTTACCCTAATTTTCTAACAGTGATTTAAGTTGGGGGACCATATTGCAAACGGAATAAATGTTGGGGGACTGTATTGCAAGTTTTAAAAGTTGGGGGACCTAAATGCAAGCTTCAGAAATGTTCAGTGACCATTACTATACTTTACCCTTTATTTTATTAAATCAATCTATTACTGATAAAATTAAATATTTCTTTATTAGGAAATTTTAAATTAAAAAATAATGGAAACTCCACAATCCTAAATGACCCACCACTCACCAAACCAATAGGAACTCCCATAAAACTCTTTACTAATACTACGTTTTGATACAAATGTACTTTAAATCCTCAAAATCAATCCCACCTTTATAAAGTAATCCCCAAAATCAATCCCACCTTTATAAAGTAAATGTATGTATGCATACTTCAACCTTACACCAGCATGTTGTCATTTTCAATTCAGAGAATTTGGTAATTAATTGAATTAAAAATGGTACTTATAAAAAAAATATTATATATATATATATATATATAGTAGTTAGGGTAGGTGAAGATGATAACAGAGGGGGTGAGAAATGGCCCCCCAATTCCTAAAGTGATAATCATGACATGGGCATATACCAACTGCAGGAAAAGGAAGTGGAAGGTGGAAAAGGAAAACCCTTTTTTAAAATTTCATTTTATTTTATTATAATAATATTTATATTGTGTTTATGTTGTATGTTTTGATAGGTGGTAGGTAAAAGCTCAAGTAGGATTGGCTTTATCTGTTATAGCTTATTAGTTAGGGGAAAATGATTGGTTAGGGCCACACATCATTCTCCCAAGCCTCAACAAATATGGTTCAACTCCCTCCACTACCATCACCCTATACCTTGAATTCGACCCGAACCTCATCCGACTCATCCATTTGAGACCACACATCATTATCTTAAGCCTCAACAAACATGGTTCAACTCCCTCCCCATCACTCCACCACTATCCTAAAACTCGAATTAACTCGATTTAAATTGACTTGACCGGAGCATCTTCCGAATCATCCTATTGACAGATCAAAATAAAATATTTAGCAGGAAAAAAATAAACAAGAAATGACACAGCTTGGCGGTTCCAGATCCATAAAAGAAAATTCCTCCACTTTGATCTGGTTTGGTTTGTCAGCATGGTATCATATGATTCCCTAGAGATGGGATGTAGTAATTGTTTATATGAAGAAATCTGACTTTGCCATGTTTCTACATGCAATTTCCCAGAAAATTTATTATATACAATA